AGCCAGCATAGCTGGCTGGGGAATTCTGAGAGTTGAAGCCCACTCATCTTAAAGTTGCCAAGTTTGAAAAACAATGGTTGAAACCATAGACTTTTTGAAAAGGTTTAATCTTGAGTCCCCAAATAACAATGCCTTGCATGCATTCTACATCTGGGACTCCAGATTCCCTTGGAGGTGGGAGAGGGGCTGTGTCCACGGATCTCATTAGGAAGCTGTAAGAGGCACGGAAGGATCCTGAGACATTAGGCTGGACCTTTGCTGTTGAATTTTCAAGCCTTTCTTGAAATGTCAACAAAGGCTGTCTTCTACTGATTCAGACACTTTCCAAATCCAGAATCAGACTGAATGCATGCCAAACCTTGAACACAGACCCAATACAGTGCAAGGGAACATGCTTAGATGATTTTTTTTTCAACTCCCGGTAGAAGAAATTAAAGATGTCTGCATCAAGAACAGGTCATCCCAGAGTTCACAAAGAAAGGATAATTCAAACAGTTACATCACCAGCTAGGAAATGGCTGCCTCTTCATGTTTTCTGCCCCCATGTTTTCTTAATAGCCAACATTAAGAGAGGGCAGGCAATGTATTTTAGCAAGTTAACAGCCATTCACTCCATTGGTGCATTGATGAACCAAGTATCGGTCGCAATGTCGACATGCTCAAAATCAACAGTTGTCAGTTCCTTTTTATGGATAGTTGGAGTGGGGGCTGGGGGCCATAAAGGGTGCTAGTGGGAAGGAGTCACCTTCCAGAACCTTCTCTTCCCATGTCCAACCTTACTTTCAAGATTTTAACCTGAAAAATCATGCTGGCAACATGCTACAACTTCAGCCATGCAATGTTTGCACATTTTCCAGGGTTGAAGAGTGGGAACAAGGGCCATTTACATCTCAGAGGCCTTGCACTCTCCTACCCAGCCTTAATTTGGGGGTGGGAAAAGCAAAATAATTGCACTGCTGAAGTCTGGCCACTGTTCTCCTGAATGTCAGCAGGGGGAACTTATAGCTTTTGGAGAATGTAAATGGGGTACTGGAAGTCATATGCAGCTCACAGATTGCCCCACCCTGCGTTAACAGGCTATTTGTAATATCGGTATTACTCAGCACGTTCTTTTCTTGCTCCTTCAGCAACACTGCTAATTGAAGAATGGGGACGAATGTTGAAATAATTCTTGCTGGTACGAGAGTTACTAAAAATAACTTGGATGAAGCAGGTGCTGACTTCCTGCCGCTTAGAATACAGCAGATGTCCAGACAAATCAATGCTAGATAGTTATTTCAATGTTTGCTCTTTAAAAATACCTTCACAAGCATTGCCAAGCCAGACACGATTCCAAAGTGACTCCAGCATGAATCTCAGCCAGGAACACTTTGGTGCTTGCGGCTCAAGACTGAATGAATCTTTCTGGGTTGGCCACATGCAGTGCAGATGACCTGTCTGAATTCTGTTCCTCAGGCCAAGACAGAACTCTGCGTAGCCAAGGTGATAAAGTCCATGCCCAAGATCTGAATTTCCCAGGAGGAATTTGTCCAAAATCATCTTTGCACAACTGCCCGATTTATGCACTAAGAACACTCTTTTTAGAAAATGAGAGCCACATGGAACATTTTATCCTGGGGTGGGGTACCTCCTTATCCACTTAATGTTACTAAAACCCAGCTCCCAGCAACCCTGGACAACGTGGCTCTTTCTTCAACAACATCTGGAGGAACATGAGTTTCTCTTCCCAGCCCTATATAAACAAGGGCTTGTGATGCTGAAATTGAACACAGCAGAATGGCTGGGAGCTATGATTTAGCAATTGCAGAGCAGACGTTAAAACAATTCCTAGATATGCTGCTTGGGAAATAGATTGCTTCAGTTGGAAAGGTAACATGTCAAGGACAAAGCCTTTTTCTCCCAACTTTCTAATTTCTGGGTGCAGGTACCCTTTTTAAAAAAATTCCCCCCCCCAGCCCAAACAGGGAGGGCATTCAAACAGTGCAATTTCCAACTTCAAGTAATACAGTTCAGGGAAATCTTTACCACCTCTTCTGCTTTTTCCAGTGGTCACGTAGACCTCAGCAAGTGAAATGACTCAATGAGGACTCAGGGACTTTGGGGATATGCAAACTGGTTCTCAGAGTCAGATAACACAAACGTTGATCGGACCTACCTTTGAGTATCCGAGTGCTTCTGAACTATCTCAGAGAAAGGCTTTTCTGGCCACTAGGAATTCTGCCCTTCCCACCTGGAAAACACTCGGATTTTTACCCCGTCGTAGCAACCTCGATGTTACCTGTCGTGTTTTTGCAGACGTTTCGATGAAAGGGATTCCGTAACTCCTTGCTAAGTCCTGAGCCTGTTTAGTGTCTACAGTCCTGGAAGGCAAATCACATTTGTTGCCAACGAGCACCATGGGCACGTCTTCGGAATCTTTCACTCGTTTGATTTGCTCCCTGGAAAAAGAAAAAGAGAGAAGGAAGGAGCAAAAGTCTCATGTGGTGTGAGAGCTTTTTCTTTTCTTTTCTTTTCTTTTCTTTT